TTAAGAAGGGGGCAGATCTTCAATATTAGCAGCTGTCGCCTGGTCAACACTCTTCTTGTTGGACTCGGCTTCAGCTGCATCCTTCTTCGATGCATTACCCCCAAGCGGCACAAGCGCCACTACCGGCTGCTCCTCCTCCTCCAACGCCTCTTCCTCAGCAGCCGCCAGGATCTCTTGATTATATCTATCAGAACACTGGCGGTACGTTTTTTCCCATGAGGCAAAGTCGGCATTGGGGAAGAGGCGGCCCCAAGTCATGCGCTGGATTTGAGCAGAGTCTTCCATCATCTCCCGGACCAGCTCTTTCTTTTCTTGCTCGGCCTTTTCCGAGAGCTCCTAAGTAAGACTCTTCTCCTGGGTCACCAGGCGTTCCTTTACGCTCGCCAAGGATTTCTCCAAGGTTTCGTACGAGGACATCTTTTGGCGAAGAGGTCTCAGCTCGGCCTTGAGGTTGTTGATGGTCGCCTCCAGCTCGCTATTCCTCTTCTGGGCCGCCTCTAACTGAGCCCGGATAGCGGCGGTAGCCTGCGCCTGATAATAAAGAATATCAATGGTCAGAACTTCATTTTGGGCAATTTGAAACATTGCCTTATCACAGTCAGAGGCGGCCATAGCTTTTGCAGCCTTTACCTCTTTGTTCTTCCGGTCAAGCGGCTTGCGAAGGCCGTTCACTCGGAGCAAGGCCTAAGTAAAAAGGGGAACAGGCGTCAGTTTCCAAACAAAAAGAAAACAGGCGTCTGGAATTCAAATACTCAAAAATATGCTAAGTATACCTCAGCAAGGACCCCTGCAATCCCGTCTAGGTCAAGGGTGCCGACACCCCTGACCGCCTCCCTTTCAGCTGGAGGAACGGCCTTGATCATAGACTTGGCCACCTCGACCAAGTCAGGCTCCTGAGGGCCGGCTGCATCAAGCATAAACAAACGGATTAGACCTAGTAAAGAAGGGACCAAGTCAAAAATTTACAAGACAATTTCATACTTCTAGGTGGCCCAGCTGGAGTTTTAGAAGAAGTGGCCGGTGTTTCTCAGTCGCCGCATGTTTCCTGGCAGAACCAGGAGAGCTCGCAACAGTCGTCCTCCGGGCCTTGGGGTCCGGCTGTTGGGAAGAAGAAGCTCTTGGAGCGCCCGTCTAAAAAAAAAGAAGAAAAGAGTCAGTATATGCATAAACACAACTCCAAAAAGAGGGTGAAAGGTTCGAAGCCCACCAAGGGTGCCCCCTTGTTGGGGGAGTCGGTTGAAGACTGTTGCATGATGGAGGCCCGCAACATGGCCGCCGCAGGAGGCGGTAATTTTGCTCATGGCGTCCGCTGCAAAAACAAATAGCAAAGTTAATAAGTCATAACAAGAAATGCACGGAACAGTATTCGACAGGTCGGCTACCTCTTGAGCACCGACTGCTGAGGCCACAGGCGGCCAAAAAGTACTCGTCGTAGAGCCATTTGAAGCTCGGGACGCAGTGCAGGGGTACTTGCTCTCGTACCCCTGAAGTAGAGTTCACCTTCGACTCTACTTTGAAGAGTCCTTTATCTAGGATCTCTTTCTTAGCCTTGGGGGGAACAGGCGGCATGCTGCGGCCGCCTGCAAGAAGGGGCGGATTCCTATTCCACCTGTTGAAGCGCTTGTTCAGCTCTGTGTCTGAACTCTCAATGATGAGGAAGGTGCTCCGCCAGTCCTTCCATTTGTTTGCTTTACCTCTCGTCATGAGGTAGCCCCTGTGGCTCGTCAATTGATACCAGCCGGTACCGCCTGCCTTAGGGGTCCGGCTGAGGTAGTTCATGTGGGCGAAAGCCTCGAAGCTCGGCTCCACCCCGTGCAGTTCGCACCCGGCCACATAGCCGAGTACGTTGACCCAGGAGTTCGGGGCTAACTGCCATAACCCCAACTCATACCCATCCAAGATCCGCTGAACAGCCAGATGTAGTGGGAAGCGCAGCCCAACCTTGATGGCCGCCTCGTAGCAGCCAAAGCAGGCGCCATCATAACTGGTACCAGCCGGCCATACGACTGTGTCTTCTGGATCCGGCACGAACACTAAAAAGCTGGGGCCCATTGTGTGGTTTGCGATAAAGCTCTCCACTTTCTCTTGCATGGCCGTGATCCGGCCCCGAGGTACCGTGCAGTAGTAGGGGGTATTTTGCTCTCGGTGAGAGGCGGATGGCTCCGCCCAATCGTCCCCCTTCTCAACTGCGTGAGAAAGCCTCGCCTCTTGTAGGCGACTGTTTTTCTCTTCTGTGTCCAGGGAAGCATGGCCAGAAGAGCTAGACTCGGAATCGTCCTCTGACGAGTCCGAAGAGGACGACTCCTCCCCTCTCCTGGAGGGGCCCGCCTCCTCTCCTTTAAAAGGAGCAGGAGAGAATGTAGAATTGTCAACTGTAAAATGGGAAGGGGTCACTTTGACTCCTCCCTCAGAACTGCCGGCTTTCAAGCCGCTTTGTTTCACTTCCACATCTGGCGCCTGGTCAGATGTTTCACTAATCGGCACCCTGTGGGAGGAGCCGTCTGAGTTTGAGATCCTGGCAGTCTTTTTTGTTCTGGCCATCATGCTCTGCATAGACACAGATACAGTCGGACTTTGTATAAAGGGCAAAGATGGGTCCAGAAAAGGGCAGGCGGCACTCCTAGTCCTAGATTCAGCCGTCCCCGGTGACCGGCTGATCACTAACCTAGGTCGTGTCGTGTGCTTCCGTGGTGCCATTTCAAAAAAGAATAAAAGTAAAGAGAAAATTAAGAGTAAGAGAACCGACGGTTACCTGAACGAGTGACGATTGATGAAGTTCTGAAAATCCTTTGCAGTCGGCTTGTCAGAGCAGGCGGTAGGCAGAAAGGGTCCAAAATGTCAGAGCAAGTTCAGGGGTCCGAATGTTCTCTCACAAAGTTTTCAAGTGTGAAAATGACCGAAGTCAACACTCCTTTATATAGGCGAAGTGAGAAGGCGAAGGGTCACTTCCAGAATTCAAAATTTTGGCGGGATAATCTCTCGGTCTCTCGCCAAGTGACACCTATAGCAGGCCGTCGCCTGTTACAGGGCGATACGGCAAATGATTAGGGGTTTTTTCCCCACCAATCACCATCTGACAAGTGGACCAATCAGGTTCCGCCATGTGTCCGTCACATGGGCCAATAGGAGCCTGCCACGTGTCAAGCAATGATCCGTCCACTATGGACCAATTACGACACGACACGTGTCCTTCCCATGACACCTGGTATAACCGGTCACCTAGGCCCAACTTCCGAGGGAAGCCCAATCAGCCCAAGGTTAACCTAAACCTAGATTGGCACGTTTCCCGAGGTTATAAATACCTCCCTTAATCCTCATTAAGGGAGATGACGCAAAAAATGCAGATTACACACATTAAACACTCTCACCTAGAGAGACCCAATCACATTAATTTCCGCATTAATTACTCCTTAATCAAGTACTAACTTGACCGTCGGAGGCGGAGCTCCTACCACAAGGAGTCTCTGTTTGTTTTGCAGGTACAGGCGTCCGGTTCCAGTCTCGGAATTGTAACTCTCCCGCAGGACATCAGAAAACCCCGAAACAATAATCTAGCAGAGTACTTGACTTTGGCAACATAAAAGTATCAAATCACAACTAGAAATCTTCTTTTGAACAGGTTACACGCTCAAATAATCTATAGGCTCACTCCATTCAATTGTAGCTCCGTATAGCCATAAGGAACTAACCTCCATTCTTTAGTAAACCATTTTTATTTTAACCCAAACATCTGTAGTTTTGCCAAATTGAATCAAGACCCATGAAACAGAAAAGGCAAAGGTAGTAAAACTTTTCATCTTGCAATCTTTACTCAGTAAGCTAAAATTCTCCAAAGCAGAGAAGCACATAGTCCTTAGAGGATCAACCACCATAAAGAAACCCATCCATTCAAGTAGAAAAATCACATCCAGTAAGACACAATTGGATTTACAAGATTTCCGATTGTCCTCTTAATATTAGGATCATTGTCCTGTGTGCCTCTCAAAGAGTGTAAACTCTGAAATGCATGACCATACTCAAACAAATTATGTTTGTCTTGACAATACTCATGAGCTCGAGGAATAATTTTGAGCTAGATAAGGCTGACATATAATCCAACCTTATTTTCAACTAGAGACAGTAAGTGACAAAGGAATGTATATGCACACTTGTCTAAAGGACAAGTGGGGGATTGTTGGAAGTATGTCCTTCAAACAATGTGACTAATTCTTAATGAAAGTTTTTGGATTTAATACGGAATTCTACTAAGTAATCAATAAGTATGCTACGAGTTGCTATTGATTAGTAGTCTAATTTAAGTTGGCTTATGGCTTAATCTAAAATGTGTGTGTGACTCTACATTAGTAGTTTAATTTAAGCCGTGAGCCTAATTACAGTATACTTACTAACTAATTACATTATACTTACTACCCAAAATCAGTTGCTCAACATATTATCAAGTATTATTTGGAGTCATGCACAATGTTTAAATGACTACTTTCCACACAACCATTTCCAAAACTCCCGCACAATCATCCACCTTTGTTTTTACCTTGATTATAATTTGTATACTCGTAATCTTCATTTCAGCAGTTCAGCTCAAGGTCCTTCACACATTTTGACAAGGGTATTATCACTTTCACACAATCACACGACATTTTTGGGCAAATTCTAAGTCTGAGTAAGATACTATTATTTGGGCAAATACCATGTTACATATTAGTTGCAACTTTTGAGTAGTTTTTGTGAGATTACTAATATGTAATAAATTAAACAAGAGCTTCCTCTTTCATCATTTTCATCACAACAAACAAACAAACAAAAATAAATAAATAAATAAATTAAATAATATAAAATTCAAGCATCAACATCCGTAATATAAATCATTACTACTCTGGTAAAATTTCAAGCTCTAATTTTAATCAAACAATCAATTCAAGTGATACTATGTTACGAATTAGTTGTTTAGGTTTCATTACACAAACAAATTAAGCAAATAAAAATTGAGGGAGTAGAGTTACTTTGAATTGGTGACGTCAGTGAAGAGGAAGAGCGAAAGTGTGTGAGCCTCAACATCGAACACCTTCATCTTCGAAGCTGAACAGGGCAGGAAGGGCAAGCGATCAGCCGATACTGCGACACTAAACCCTAAATTGTGAAATTGATATTTGGTGATTAAAAGGAAAATACTTACCTGAGAAGCTGCTTCAATGGAGGAGAGAAAGTTAGAAGGTGATTCAATGGAGAACTCAGGGTAAGGCTTCGATGGAATGGAAAGAGAAAAAGGGAAACGGGGGTGCAGGCGTGAAGTCACTTCGTGGACTAAGGACTATGTACTTACTCCACCATGCTGCTGTCAATTTGGGTACTCGGGTTATGTTCGGTGACGTCGAGTCTATTTCGGTAAAGAATATACATACAGGAGACCTAATAATCCTGACCAGACTCGATGATCCGACTTGAATGACTTGAAATTGACCCAAATACAACGACTCAAAAATGACTCGAAATCCGAAATTGACCGGGCCCGACCCATACTTGACCCGAAAATAGAGTTGACCCGATCCTGACCCGACCCGAATTGTTTGACCCAAACAAACCCAATACCCGAAATTGACCCGAACAGACCCAATACTCAAAATGTTCTGACCTAAAATTACCTTATAATTGAACTAAAAATGTCTGGTGCCAAAAATAATTTAAATTGTTCATCTTCAACTGTAGCCATGCTCATAAACCGAATTGATAGTTCTTATTATAACAATATTAGAATATAAAATTATTGATTTGAGCTAAATCCACAAATTAAATGGAACAACTCGAACATGACCCGACCTGATTTTAACCCGACCTGAATATGACCAGAACATACTTGACCCGAAAATGACCCAACCCAAAATCGACCCGACTTGAACTCGACCCAATGCCTGACCCGAGCCATACCCGAAACCCGAAATGGCCCGGCCCAACTCGTACCCGACCCGAATGTTAACTGACCCGAAATTGACCCGGCCTGGACCCGACCCAAACGACCCATTTGTCAGGTCTACATACAAGGCAAAATTGGCCGCAACACCCTGAAGTATGGCTTAGGTGCACTGAGCACCCTGAACAACTATGGTGTTAGGTGCGACGTGTGCCTTAAATGAAAATTTCCGGCCACTTATTCATCGGAGGAGGTGAATCCATGCGTGCTAAGTGGATGGAAGACTACATAATTGTTCTAGAGAGTGAAGATTCACCTCCTCAAGGTGAAATAAGTTGCCGGAAATTTTCATTTATGGCACGCGTTGCACCTAACACCATAGTTGGTGGTGTTTTGGCTACTACGCAAAGTTCAGGGTGCTCAGTGCACCTAAGCCATACTTCAAATGTGTTGCGGCCAATTTTGCCTACATACAATCATTGTATGTATAGCCTACATACAAATTGACAAAGCTTTATTTTATGGGCCAACATATTGGTCCCAAATTCCACTTAAATTAAAATTTTATTTGAATTTTAGATCAAATTTTTAATTCCTAATATTTAAAAATTCAAATTTTCTAATCTTTAATTTAAGAAAATCTTATTAACAAAATCTTTTCTCTCTCCTCTCTCTTTAGGGTTTTAACAAAATCTTTTTCTTTGATTTAATTCGCTTATTTGTTATTTGATTTTGTTTTGCTTTATTTTGTTCTCTCTGTTTGTGAGAGTCTATCCCAATTTTTTTGGGTTTTTCCCAATATTCTATGATTTTGATTCTCATCTATGGATGAGAATTTATTTTTAAGGTTTTATTAAATTGAGAAGGTAATTTGGATTCATATGGGTTTAGGATTCGTCATCAACTCTACAATTAAAACATCAACGCAGATTGCGAAGGTCTCTACTTGGAAAGATTCAAAGACATCGAAAATCACTGCTCGCGTCAAGTTTGAAGCGGTGGAGTGTGAGCTATGTCCGATATGCAAAATAGTTATCATTTTGATTGTAAAAGTTATGTTATTTTTTCTAGATCTATGGTTTACAAATCTTTATTATTATTATTGTATATGTTGTATGGCTATTTATTAATGATAATATTCTTCTTCTTATAAAAAAAAAATAAATAAAATAAAAAAAGATAAAATAAAAAAAAAACCCAAATTAAGTGTCATTTCCAATGCAATATTTATTTATTTTTTTCGAAAAAAGAAAAACTAATCAAATTTATCAGTGCATTTTTCATCAGCCTGGATGGCCTAACTCCAAGGTTCATACTTCTTAGTGAACGTGGTTAGTTATACAGTACTCGCCCTTTTAAACTTATTCAAAAAGGGAAATAATGGCACCTAGAAAAGAGATATCGTTGGATGGTTAGGGGAGCAGTAATGGAAGACTAGAGAAATGTTCTCATTGAATTTGTCTATAAATAGAGAAGATTTAATTAACAAAGGCATTAACAAATCAACCAACAAAGAATTTCATTTTTTTAAGCTTTCTTTAGCATTTTTCTTGTTCATTTCAACATATTGTATAAACATATAGGTAATCTTCTCCCCTTGTAAAATGATTGCAACATTGACTTTATCCTTTATTTAATGGAAGACATTTGCATCCCTAATCTATGTTTATCTGTTCAATTATTTGGTTTATTCAACTCTTCTTAACTTCTTCAAGTAGTGCAATTTTAACTAGTTAATTATTGTTGTTACGTTAGTGAGGCTATCAAAGTATAATTAGTAATAGTAGGGGCAGACCTCTAACATCCTAAAACAATATAGGGTACGTGACCTGTTGGTAAAACACAACATTTACCTTAATTATGACAAAATAATTAGAAGGAAGATTCATCAATCAATTAATGAGCATTCTTACACTCTCTCCTCTTATTTATTGCTTTCATTTATTGTTTTATTTAATTTCTTTGGTTATTTTATTTGCTTTTGATCATATCAGGTTTTCATGCTTTCATTTTCTTTAATTAGGCTTAATCATGTTCATATTATATTATTTAGTTGTTAATTTTAGATTGTTTTCCTTGATTATTATGTTGTTATTTTTTATTTTGGGCTAGAATTCTAGCTAGGGTAAAGGGTAATGGTAAAGGATGATGTTTTATTTGATAATTGAATTGTGAAATCTGTGTGCCTTGATTTATTTGGTGATGTATCTATTGCTCGAGGTCATTTTGACCAATTAACTTCATGATATTCACAGTTCCTAGACTAACTAAGCTGGAGTGACCTAGTTTAGGAAGTTTAATTCACCTAATAGCTATCATCGCCTTTTATGTGGTAGTGAATTCGGCGGGGTTGGCATATTAGATTACTTAACGTGTGGGGGAGTGACCTAGGTATACAAATTGCTCCTTGGTACCTCTTTGATTGATTTCGTTACCGTTGATTGTTCAAATGTCTCACTATTGTCTTGATCTCCTTTTCTGTAGTGTTTTCATCTCCTTGTTACTCATTTTATAGTTGTTTGTTTATCTATTCTAGTGTTCCTTCGACTTAGGCTATCGCTTTTATTGGCTTGCGAATCATTGTCCCTTAGTCCTTATGGTTCCAAAACTTGTCATTGATTTAGGGAGTGATAGTAAACGACACATTTTTCTACCACCTTATCATTCATTCACTCGATAATTTTACTGAGGTGTGAAGGATTTTCACTTCAACATTTAATAATTTTTTTTAATGCATAGGAGTTTACAACCCATTTGCTGATGCGTGGAAGAAATCATCTAGTAATTTTCCTGAGGCACAAAAGATTGATCACCTTTCAAGCGTTTAGTAAGCTTCTCAAGGTGTATGTAGGAGTTTTATGATAGGTTTCTCCAGGCACGGAAGACTATCATTCTTTTTCATCTGGTATTCTTCCCAAAGCGCGAAAAATTATATACTAAACATCTAGTAGACTACCCGAGGCATAGGAGTCTACAACATGTTTCTCGAGTCGCAATATTCATTGAATTTCTCGAGGCGTAGGAGTTTACAATAGATTTTTAGATGTGTAGAAAGCTACCAAACGTATACATTGTCCACACATCGGCATCAGACACGCAACTCTATCCCTTTTCTTCTATTTTGTAAAACTAACAATATTTGCAGGTATTGGCATACACAAGGTTTTAAATTATAAAACCATCTAAAATCATTCTTCATCCCTAGTCGATTAATTCAAATTTCGTCTTACAACACTTTGTCTCTATAGACTTAATCAAATTGGGGCATTTGTAGACACTAAATTATGGCTCCGCAAATTAAGCTTGATATGAAACATATATCACTACGTAATTTGGTCCAAGTTGCGTAAAGGATCCAAGAGTCGCTTGAATTTGTTAAATAACCCAACTCATTTTCCTTTTAAAGTGTATTAGCCTTTTTATTTTAGCTCAATTTTGTTTTTATTAGGTGTAGACACCTGATTGTGTCTCCCCAAAACTAAACCCAGTGATGAGTACCTTTCACGTCTTTGATTAACGAGTTCGGTAAAGGGTTGAAGAGTCTCACTAAGTTTCCTTAAGCCTTGACCATAATTCTAACCTTACCTAAAATGTTAATCCAAAATCATTCATTTCTTGTCTTTAAACCTAGAGTCATTCATTTCGTGTCCTTAAAATCATTCATTTCATGTCCAAATCTTAAAAACTTTCAAACCAGATTATTTTGGTCCATAATCATAGTCCATTTATTTCTTAGTTTGATGGGGCTTGAAAATAGCTTTCTAACGACATATTATAAGCCCAAATCCGACTTAAAACGAATAAGTTATGGCCAAAATATTAAACCGAGCCATACTTAATTTCATGCCTCATAATTTTTATCCAAATCTTGGATGGTTGGATAGCCCTTGAAAATATCTTTCCAATGATATATCATAAGTCCAATTCCGATTAGAAACGATAAAGATATAATTAAAATACCAAACTCTATCCAAAATTGACACTGTTATACTATTTCAATCATATCTCAAATTCTACAAAATATATCAATCTTATTCCAATTAGGTTGTAAAATATATTTCCAGAGCTTTCCAACGATATATTATTTATCTTATTTCGATTTCTGGGTCAAAATTTATGATAAAAAAAAACCGCAAAACTGCGTGCTGTCCAACATACCGTGCCAGTCCTAACGCGACGCGACAGAAGCCAACGTGGCGCGACAACCCTATTATTTATCTTTCCTGATTGTTTCGACTCTCTTTTTTCCTTATAAATAGAGGTCGTTTTCCCCCGTTTCTAATCATGGACAATAACCATCAATTACCTAGCCACAACTATCATCAATCATCATTCAAAACACCCATGTCCTTAGCCTTAGCCTAAACACATCCTTGATACTCTCCCTCCTTCGCGAGATTTGAATACTCCAAGCCATACTCGACGTTGCCTTTGACCTCGACGTGAAAGGTTGGATAGT